CTTTCCAGCAACAGTTCGAAGAATTCAGAATAGAATTTTATATTGCGAATCCCATAAACAAAACGTCGTTTTTAAAGAAGCATTTACAGATGATATTCATGCGCTCCTTCAGGTCATACACCGGAGGATTTCGAGCAATATATGCATGACCTTAATGATGAAATCGCACAGAACAAGACTCGTAGCTATACGCTGGAGAAGGCTAACCGTCTTTACATACATAGAGAATTAGTATTAAAATATGCATTTGTGGCGGCTATGGAGAAGTACTATGCCGAACAGATGAAACTTGTTGACTTTCGAGCAAATCCCGATGCTATCGCTCAGGTATTCAGCATTTGCTTGTGAAGCTTGCATTAGCAGTTTTATCGCCATTATTATCTAGAGAGTTGGCAGAAATGACGCAGTGAGGTACAAACGCCTCATGCAGTTTATAGAGGGCTCGATTTTGCAGATGAAGCAAATAATCCTTCGATTCCTTCATTCTTTTGTATTGTAAACTGATATTGGCATATGCCAGGAAAACATACCCACCGTCAGCATGTTTGTAAGCAGCTCTCGAAATAGGGGGCCATCAACAGTCTTGCTAGTGGGTTGTTGCAACTGGCAACTGTACTAGTTCCCGACCGCTGCCGCCTCTCAGATGCAGTCAGTAAAAAGGGAGTTTTACACTGATTACTGGGGAGAGAGGAAGTGGTGGAAGAAAAGGTGAGGGGAGGGGGCAGAGGAGTAGAAAAAAAGCAGTGTTTCTCTCCACAGCAACAACTTCATAGATTTAGAAAGTTATTAGAAGTTAATCCAGTCAGCCTTCCTTCATATATTTTGTGAAAAGTGTTGAGGAATTCGTTGGAAGTGATGATAAGCTAAACTAAGCAGGTCATTCTGAACTGGTGCGACTAAAGCTATCGATACACCCCTTTTACAAGAAACTGATAGTGTAGCAAAATATTTCTATCTTGAGTCAACAAAACATCACTAGACATATGTTGAACTACAAGCTGCTTCGGGCAGATACTTTGGCTGGTAATGTAAGGAAAAAGTAACGAAGTAACCAAGTGCCTTATTTATAATTTGGTGAAGTTTTGCTTTTAAGGATTTGTTGCAGAACTTTTTAAAGATACCGGTAATGATGATGCTTTTTATGCGTTTTTGCATATATGGAAATTGCAAAAACGCATATTGGGAAGAGGCTGCTTGTGTATGTATGTGTGTCTGTGTGTTCG